GGTTTGTTACTTTTTAGGTAAGAACATGAATGACAAGTTTTTGAAAACAAAATTCTCAGGAAAATTTACGTAACTAAGAAAGGTTAAGTAAATAAACAATTCAGGATATTACACAATGAGTAACGTCGTGATTTATACACGTCTCCTTCTGTTGTTACAATAATATCAAGGACAATGAATATGTACCTTGGATGGAGACTAGAAATGCACACAAAAGTGTGGCTGGGAATATACTGGAAAGCACTCAATTGTACGACTCTGAAAAGTGACAAGAGGATATTAAGATGGATCTTAGGGAGAGGTTTTGAGGATTTGAGATGGATAGAATTGGCTCAGGATCATGCCCCACGGCAGACTTTGGTATTTGTTAAAATTTCATGTTCTATTACCGCAGTCAGCGATCTGTAATAATGGTGATACATTTGTACACGCAGTGGTCTCTCAAACCAAGCAAAGGTAGTTGTGTCACTTATGAATAAAGGTGTGCTTGAATTTATATTTTGCACTCATATTTCAGCGTCTGAAAGTCACAATATCCTTTAGTGCAGATGGCTAGACAATTTCAGTAGTCCATACCTCAGTTATGAAGTCTTTGAAAATTGTTCATATAAAGTTACTGACTCACTCCAAATACCAACAACTGTGAACAGAAATCAGCATATCCTGTCCATTACTTTTAGGACATCCTATACAGAATTTATGAAACATTCAATATGATTACAGATTACACGTCATACAAGATACAAAACTTCTAGAGATGTATTTTATGTTGTTGATTTATCTTCACTACAATCCGAGGAGTCCTAACATCCGAAGTCCTTATAACGTAGAAGATGATTAAATATGTAACAAGTTTCTTCTCCATCTCATAAAATGTGTAACTAATTGAATAGAGAGTATGGAATGGAAATCAACATTGAAAAATCAAAGGTAATGAGGATAGCACCGAGAGCAGAACCATTGAACGTTGTAATTGGAAACCAACAGATGGAGAATGTGGAGCATTTCAAGTACTTGGGAAGCATAGTCACGACGGACGCCCTATGCACCAAGGAAGTAAAAGCAAGGATAGCCATGGCCAAGGCAGCTTTCGTCAAGAAGAGGATACTTCTCACTAGCAAGTTGGGCTTGGAGATGAAGAAGAAACTAGTGAAGTGTTACATATGGAGTGTCGCGCTGTATGGAGCAGAGACTTGGACACTCAGGAAGAAGGAACAGAAATACCTGGAGAGGTTTGAAATGTGGTGTTGGAGAAGAATAGAGAAGATCAGGTGGACGAATCGAGTGACCAACGAAGAAGTATTGAGGAGAGTCAACGAGCAAAGAAGCATTCTGCAGGCGATTACACGAAGCTTATACAAGGAAAGAAGATGACGTTCCAGGAATTAAAGCGAGAAGCCGAGAATAGGGACAACTGGAGAGCTCTTTTTGGGCAGAGCAATGGACCTGTCGTAAGACAGAACACTTAATAATAATAATAATAATAATTAAGCACTGGCAATGTCGGGTTAAGATATCCACTTATAATTTTGCTAGAGCACCTGATTTCTATTCCAGTGCAGCCATCTCTCTCCAGTACTTGAAACTTTTTCGTAACATTTGAATAAAGTTATGTTTACAAGACCACAAGATTTCCATGTTAAAAAGGTCTTCTGGATATCATGCAAAATTTACAAAGTGCAAATCTCGCCAGTTTTTGGAAGAATCTACGCACGTTTCTCTGAGAAGTTGGTATTTTACCTCTCTGACACTGTACAGGAGATATAAGAGTACAATTAAAATCTGGTTTGTTTCCACCATGTTGAAACTGAAATAGAAGGTTGCACCCTCGTCACTTACTGTGTCCCGGACCGCATATGCGCTTCTGTGTTGCTTTGTGACTGGTGTTCATGGCGTCCGTTCAGCCACGGCGCAGTACTACTTGCGTTTCACCTTCATCACACACTTAAAACAATTACCTCCGACAAGTAGCATTACAGTGCACATTGGAACTGGTATAATTTGAGTTGAATCAACAAAAGTCTGGCAGATATGATATTTTTTGGGGTCTTTAATGATACTGTGACCTATCAGAATGCCTAACTGGTAAGGACGTGGAAGATTGTGATTTGGTTTATAGTAGTTACTATGGAATAAGACAGGTTACAGCTAAGCTAACTCGCTCATGAACTAGTACTGTGGAAATGCTGTGCATTTAAAAATGTAAAACCACACGGCACAGTAGTAAGCTTAATGATCTGTGCCTTGCTTAGGTATTATTCTGTCTGTTAACTCAATCTGAGACAATTCCATAATTTTAAAAATGTTGGTACCATTCGCAGTTCTTCTAATATTATGTTTTCTGGTAACTGGTATTTACATTATTCTCCATCACTAAGAGTCCATTCATGCTAGTCGTAACTGGAATTCAAGACCAAAATATTTGTTATTAAGTTAAGAAAAATGTCAAAATCTTTCGATATTTTGTGCATTAAAATTCATGAAGTGGCAATACGTGATAACTAAGAATTCAGAATAAACTGCAAGCAAGACATACTGCTGTTAAAGTAAAACATAAAATTAGTTTATTCAAAATTAAATAAATATGGCCCTAAAATTTGAAACAGCCAGTTTTGTGCTGGTAGGATAATAACTTCTAGTAATGTTTTGATATAGCCACGGTGGTCTAGCGGTTAGAACGCTGGCCTTGTAATCCTGGGGTCTCGGGTTCGATTCCCGGCGGTGCCCGAATTTATAACTTGTGTTGGGCAAGGCCGTGGTCTAGGCAACACGGAGTTTTCCTCCGTGGCATCCCAACAATTACTCCATTCACACACAGAAGAAGGCAATGGCAAACCACTTCTGGATCATCTGCCAAGAACGTATATGAACAGGTCCCAGTCCGAGAAAAGGATGGAAGGATCCTGTTCATATGGACCTGTCGTCAGACAGAACACTAAATAATAATAATAATGTTTTGATGAGATGCTGTGTTGATTACAAGTTATGAGCAGAATGTGTGCGCTACCCAATGGTAATAATTCATTTTCTCCCATTTCATTGCAAAGTTAAATCTACTAAAGTAACACAAATGTGTAAAATTTAAAAACCTATAATTCCTAGCACCCCCCCCCACCCCCCCATCCAGTTATTGCAGCTCGTTGAATATAAAAATGATTCCGTGCTTTGCCTACAGATAAACTGGGTATAGCAGTCACTTTGACTTGTAATTTCCATTTGTTTCTTCACAAACAGTGCACAAGATGAATTAATTTGGTGTTTGTCCTAATAGTTTCAAACTTGCCTACTATTTGGTAATTATTCGTACCCCAGGTTGAACCTGGCTACACAGACAAACAACACGTTGCAACAAAATAAAGCATTTATTTAATGAGTATATCACAACAATCCACAATAACCACAACAAAACATCATGCTATATAAGATAAGTACACCACATACATATTACAGGTCTCTGTTACAACTCCACAACACACATAAGTTAGAACATGATGATGCATGTCACATCACATTCTGTTAAAATGCACAGATTTTTGACATTCAATTGTACTAAATTCCACATATTGGCATGGCACGTGTGATGCGTGAAAAATATGAATAAATTCAATCCAATTTTGCTCTGGATATTAACTCCAATTGAATTTAGTTTCAACCCCCATCTCGATCTGTGTTAAACCGAGACGAAATCTGTTACTCCGCTT